AATGTCGAGTTGGTTTGCCCCCTTCAGGCATCTGCCATGGATGTCTGAGCGGGATGGGGGTAACCGATGTCTGAACGTAGGGGAGTTAAGGAGGGACTTTGCAAACTTAAGACTGAGGGCTTCTGTTCTTTTCTCTAGGGACGGCAAACATAATTGGGACAGGGCGATGTTGTAAGACGTGTACAAAATCTCAATGTTACCGTCAAGGTACTTTTTTCAGAACTAACATATTCTGCACGCAGATATTACCTTTAAGATGAAAACTTGCTGACGTTTTCTGATGGCCAGGTTTCTCTTACAGTTATCTGCCATCATTGTTGACAGACCAAAAATACATTCTAACATCAGCTTTGGGGAAAAACCTGATTGCCTGCGTATGTGCGCATTTCTTTTAACGGAGTGGTTCAATGCAAGGCCTATACGGTCACTTGTCGGCATGGAACTAGAAATATGATAGAAACGTGTCAAGAGATGGCGGATAACGTTTGATTTGAAAGCCTGTAGATTGTAGGTTGTGGGAAACACTTGTCAGGGAGGGAATTCCAAAGCTTGGCCGTACGGGGAAAGAAACTGTCACTGTAAAAAGATTCCGAAGAAGGAATTTGGACGGTGAAGTTGTGTGAGCTAGTGGAGAACCTAGTGGAACGCTTAAAATTTCTGAGTGGTGGAACTAGTTGGGTGAGTTCTGCAGAGCAATGGCCATGAAAATATCTGTAAAAGAGGGAGCGGAGAGAGTCTACAGTGACTAAGTTAAAAAAGCTCTCTTCACTGCAAATTTTATCATTCATGTTTGTCCACAAGTAGAAACGTACCTTTTTAGTGAGTCAGACTAGCTTCAGTTGGCACTTTCTTGGCAAGAACTCGGGCGCAGCTCGCTGTAACAGTTGTTCTTGTAGGGTGCGTCTGCCTCCTTCGGTAGCTGATCCGTAATGCCGTGTGACAAACACCTCAGGGTTACATGATATATAGCCTTACGTAGGAGTTAATTGTCTGAAGCTGGCTATTTGAATAAAATCCATATTTATGACCATGTTTAAAATTCTAATGATGCAGGTATCAAGATGTATGTTTACTTGTCTTTATACTAGAATTTGATAAACAAAAACAAGGAACAGATTTCTAAGATTTGGTTGAGAAAGACAAGCATATCAAATTCTGGCATAAAAGTAAGGTGCAATGTATATTTTTAAATAAGTATATATAATGTAATATAAAACGTGTTATGCGTTGTTTTTTTTATTTGCATAACCAACAGAGCGTGGGAGAGAGCCTTTTGTAAGAGCGGCCTTGTCAGAACGCGCGTGGGAGCTGATCTAAGGATTGTTCTCCTTCTCCTTAAGTGTCTTCTGAAGTGTGCAAGGACGTTATATAGTCCTTGTATGCACTATAAATGTCCTTGAGGTGTAGAAACTAAAGTCGAAGTGGACACTGCAATCTGTGACATAACCACCATTATTTAATTGTACAATTCATCAGTGTATCAGTTTAAGTAATATATATAATGCTTCACAGAGTTTTACGAAATGTAGCTTTCTTGTGTGCAAACTCAAAACAAAGTCATAACTTTTTTTTCCTTTTTCATTCTTTTTTGACACTTCTGTGATTTCGTGTTATGTACCTTACTACATAAAAGATTGCAATATATTCAATTTAAAAGTCTTACTACTGGTTAAAATTGCATTCATCAAATTGCAACACACCTTACTAATAAGATACGAAACCTGTACATATCATACAACCATATGTACACACTGGCAGTTGGTTAGTTATCATAATCATATCCTGGCATATTTGCAAACTTTCAGGTAATTTTCTTATTTTCTTTCAATTAAGTGCATTTGTACAATGTTGATTTCTTCATAATGTTGTCTATTAAATGAGGGATGCAAATTCAATGAGTTTCAAATTAAGATCAAGTCAACTTTGCTATTCTATCATTACCCAACCCGTTGGCATTACTTACAGATGTGCTAAAAGCTTCCATTATGCTCCCAACACTGTTCAACCATTTTTGCGACTCGGTTACACTGACATTCCCGTAGAGCTGCCGCCAAGTCCTCAGGAGATGTGCCCGGGTTTCTCTCCCTCCACAGATAGAGAATTTGGTGAACCTTTTCTCTGGCTTGTCGATACTCCTCTTCGATCGCACTTATGTCTACTTCACTTAAGTTCAGTTTTCTTCCTAACCGTTTGCGATACTGTGAGGATCGAAGTTCGTCTTTGACTATGTCAAAAACCTTTCCCCACATTTCATCCAGGTGTGACTGTGGCATCAGAGGAGTAGTCTCAACTGGTTCAGTTCCTGTTGGTCCTGTAAATAAACTCCATTGCATTAGAATTAATCTTTTGTCTATAGAAAAGGATGGCAGATTTGTGCTTTGAAAATGTTCTTTTATGTCATATATTTCCGTAAGGGACACCTGAAAACTGTTAGGGACATGACATGAATTGTATACTGAATAAACAAAAGAATATATCCTTCATCAGATGTTGGGAAGAATGTGTCTGGGAAAAAGTACTGTGTAACAGCAAAGAAGAATGTATTCGCATAATAATTTAATAAGGTTGACATACGTTCCACAGTCTTGAAATGTGGTGTTCGAAAATACACTGTCTGCAATGGGCAAAACGTTGACTAAACATCCAACAAAAAACATAAAAATTAGGGGTTTTGGACAAGAACAGTAAGCTCTACCAATGTCCTGGCCAAGAAGATGTGTGATATCCAGCATGTCGGCAGAACAAAATGCACCTGTGCGAAACCTGTAATGTATTGTACATAGCATTTAAGGTTGTATTCGCTCATATAAGGTTAGCATTCGACAGTAGTTTCCAAATGTTGTGTCGGAAAGAATATCCTCTGCAACAGGCAAAATTCTGATGCAACCTTGACCAAAAATCCAACTAAAAACGTGAAAATACAGGGTTCTGCGCAGGCGCAGTACATTCTGCTGACATGCTGTGATATCCATAGTTAGTTTGTCTGTTCAGTTCAGTTCATCCTTCTGTAAGATGCTTTAGTTACCTGCAGTTTCTTGCACAGGACCGAGGTCTGGTGCATCAGACTGGCTTGTAGAAGGCCTCTCCCTGTCTGCATCATCGCTGGATGTAGAACCTGCAGCTTCTGTGAAGAATACCGTCAAACACAAATGATTGATACAAATGGATTTAACTTGATTTACTTTATTTTTATTTTTTTATTCGTGACACTAAAAAGCAAACCTTACACAACTTGCAGCAGGGATAAAACTCTTGAAGTTAATGTGTAAAATAACTAGAAAGGTTACATTTGCAAAGCAAATGCATAATGTTTACCTTCACATATAGTTTTCTCTTTTTACTCAAACACATTCATAATATGGTCAGACAGGAGTCTGAATCCCTCCTATAAAATGGCAACAAGATGTAACCCAATACCAGTTACCATGGTGACAGACATCACCAAATCAGGCCATTGGCCAGGTCAGAGGTTAGTGTTTGGAACAGAAGAAGAAGAAGAAACATAGTAAAAACAATATATCTAAACATAACAATAAGTGTTACCTGGCTCTGCCTGGTTACCGGGTCCAGATGCTGGCCCTGTGACCACCCCAGTGATGTCTGCAGTCTGCTCAGGTCTGGGTGGAGAGACATCTTGGTTTCCTCCAGGACCATCCGCAGCCTGGACTCCCTGAAGGAAATACATTACAGAGTTGTTTCCTATGATACGTCCGGTGTGATATAGCTAGCTGTCACCGCGCCGCGTGCCTGCAAAGCTGGTGTGTTACGCCGAAGGGTGGTCATACCGGCTATACAGATACAGAAGCTGGTGTGTTACGCCGAAGGGTGGTTATACCGGCTATACAGATACAGAAGCTGGTGTGTTACGCCGAAGGGCGGTTATACTGGCCATACAGATTCAGATACAGGATTTATTTATTTACTTATTTATTACATCATAAGACGGCTGGGTAGCCCCATTCAGCTTACATTAGCTGTTTTCCAAGGGGGCCCAGCAAAATTACACAAGACATTGTTACATACAGTAAGACATTACAGGAAAGGGAACAATTATTATGCTATTATTCAGTTGTTTGTGACTTGCAATTGGTGACAGAAAATAATTATAAATATTGTTTATTAGTAAGTCAAATTGCTGACTTTCACATCACACTTTCTGCATGGTATTTTAGTGTCTTTTGTTGGTATCTTCATTAATCAGAGAATTCTACAGACTAATTTCCATACCGTATGAGGGCCTACATTTGGCACATGTCCATTTTGGTCAGAAGTAGGAGAAGTAGAAGGAGACACCACCTCTTGCAGTTCCTGTTCTCCTGTAAGAATTAAGGACAACGAGAATTTGAAAAGCCTCAAAAAAACAAAAGTCATGAAGAAACATGTCAACACTGGCCAATCAATGGACCTGATTTAAGCCAATCCATTTATGTTCATACATGTAACATCTGTGTCCATAATATCACCAGGGTCCATAATGTCGCCACCTTGAGAAACAGTGTGCTTAAAGATATTTTTACTGCAACATACCCTAGGTATGTACATTTGAGATGTGCAGTACCAAAAGTATGTTGCAGTAAAAATATCTCGTGGTGGCGATATTATGGACCCTGGTGATATTATGGACACGGATGTTATTTATTTATTTATTTTATTACCGGCTATACATGCAGAATCTGATACAGATACACATCATACCTCCAGTACTATTTCCTGTAGTTGTACTTCCTGAACTGTTACATGGTTTTCTACAGAAATAAACTCCCAGTCCCACTCCTGCTATCACCACCAAAGCAACCACTGCCACTGGGATGCCAACCACTACACCATAGTTGGTAAGGGCTTCTGCAAGGATTAAAAAAACAACAAAATTATTGTAACTTCAACATGTGATAGAAATTTCTGAATTATACGCAGTTACAAGGTCATTTTACTACTCAGACTAGTCTCATATTTCAATTGCATAATGTTACATAATGATTATGCAAGGTCACATATATTTACTATTTTTCCAGCGATCTGTGGTGCCTAGTAGAGGCTAACCAGGACCTACCTGTAGCTCTGACAGACAGCCTCACTTGTCTCTGCCCTTCCCAGTGGAAAACCGGTTCTCTGTCATCATGGACTGTCACCTTACACCTAAAAAATAAAACAGCAGGGAAAAAATGTAAAATTAAAGTTGCATTTCACCACTCCCCATATTTCCCTGTAATGTTACAAATACATTCACCACTCGCCATATTTCCCCTATTTCTAACTGTAAGAAAAGATTCCAGTTTCCCTGTTTCCAATTTCATGGCTTTGTTTACAATGAGTACATACTTAGTTACAAACCAATACTTGTTGCTAGTAATATCTTCTAAAGCAAGCAGTTACAATGATTAATGACACTGATGTACACATGTATAATATATAAAAAAAAAGGAATTTTGAGAAGAATATACCATAGCCAGACAAGCAAACATTACATGTGCAACAAAAAACAGACAGACATGTATATGATAACATAGGTACTTGATGCAATCTACAATATAATGGCCATTTATCTACTACCTCTACTACAGGTCTATTTAATTTGTGCTGCTGCACCCATTCAATGCAAACAATAAAATCACAAGATTTAGAATATCCTACCTGATGACATCTCCGTTGTTCTCCAGTTTTACCGGGTTGATGTTGACTGTTCTGCCTTCACCAATTTTGATGCCGTTTTTGTACCAGGCGTAGCTAGGAGCCGGGTTGCTGTCATCAGCATCGCAGGACAACTGCAGTTCATCTCCGGGCTGCAATGTGGTGCTGCTGTTGTAACCTGTGATAGCCACTCGGCTGGGAGGGTCTGAAAATGATTTGGGGAATGTAAACTTTTACTTGAGTTTGTGTTTTGAATACTACAGGCCTGACACAAAACTTAAATAGAAGCATTGACAGGAATTGTCCTAGGCTAGTACTATAAGTATAAGTAACCTCCAATACTACATCTGTATCTGTATCGTCTACCAGATACCTTTGACCCAATGTTGACGTCACACTTCAAATTTGAAGAAGCCACGTGACAAGCTTCATCATCACTGGGTCAGTCTACTGAGGAAGACCAGAGTGACTGGTCGAAAGCTCTAGGTGAGAGAATTTTTTGTGTTGGAACAAAAGTTTTAACTTTAAACATGTAACTACCAACACAGATGAACTTTCATGATAGAGCTTACAAATCAATAATACTAACCTCCTACTAGTATATACCTATATAAATATAGGAAGAACTTTATTGCACGACAATTGTACAGAGTACATTGCATGGCAAATAGGTAACAATAAGTAGCATAGTAAAATAGATAGGTATAGAATAAAACTTAACAACTCATATACAGAAAAGAAATAATCAAAAGTTAGCTTAGGCTTTACAATCAGGCGGAGTTATCTATGGGTACATGTGACAGCAAATCAGTATTCTTTCTAATAACCAAACAGTCTTTCATGTATTTACCTATTTTTGCATTGTGTGGGCTGTTGCATTTAAATATATAATCTGTCGTATTTGAAGTGAGAAATTTGAATAGCGTATCACGTATATAAATATATAATTTATGTATACATACGTCTGACATGCAGATGTGTTCTCTCTCCAGCCCTGCTTCCCTGTGAACACCGATACTCTCCCCCCCATACTGAAGAGTCGTCTAGTCTGGACACGTTCCTGATCTTCAAATTCTTCCTGTCCACGAAATCAACCCTTCCTTTAAACGGGTCCTCCAGCACCTCAACTCTCCCATCTGTAATTCGGAATTCAAACAATGAGTTTTGTGGCGTCGTGTGGCGTAGCGGCAGAGTGTGCGACTCGGAACTAAGAATCAAAGCCTGGATATGACATATATATAATGTATGTATGTATGAACTGTATCATACAGTGTATGAAACAAAATACAGCTTGGATATCATGAATATAATTTAAAACCTACAAAATGTACACAAAACAATAAGTGTTTTGGACAATTATGATTCAACATATTGTGTCTATCTTGTATATATTGTAATGCTACATTTATTGGAACATATTCATGCTTTTTTTTTTGTTAAACAATTTATTTGGAAAACTGTTTCTGTCTGTACCTGTCTTGGTCCAATTCCAGGTGGTTCAGCTTTGATAAACAACACACAAATAAACAAAAAGGCAAAGATTATATCTAGCTTTCTTCTTCTTATAAATAACTGACTGTTCCTGTGCATGATTGAATAGGAATCCATACTAGCAGGCAGACCATTACCCCTTTGCTCTTTTTTTATGACCCATCCTATCAGGTAGACAGAAAAAGCAGCACTAGTAAATAATATGTACTATAAGTGTATACATATTAATCATGGAAACACAGTCACACACACGCACTTACATACGCTATATACACACACAAACACACACAGTGACACACACACACACACATACACACACACACACACACACACATGCACACACACACACACGCACATGCAAGTCATTAGAAACAATACATCACTTCTATAAGTATAACTGTATAAGGTGCAGAAATGAACAGAGGCCATACCTGGATGCTTGAGAAGTAGAATTATGTTTTCAGGCTGCAGCGTCCAGAAGAGATTTACATTCGGGTCATAGGTGATCCCACAGGGTAGGACAGGAGAGTCTCCCTCAATAGTCCACACATCTGCTCCTGTGGGGGAACATATAGGCGTTAACTTTGGGATATCAGGTAGAGAACTAACTACATGTGTGTGTGTGTGTGTGTGTGTGTGTGTGTGTGTGTGTGTGTGTGTGTGTGTGTGTGTGTGTGTGTGTGTGTGTGTGTGTGTGTGTGTGTGTGTGTGTGTGTGTTTATGTGTGAGTGTTTGTGTGACTGAGTGAGTGACTGAGTGAAGGAGAATATATAATGAATTATTTCACACAGCTACATGCCTACAGACCTTACAAAGCCCCCCCCCCCATAGTGCATATTATTTCATCACATCATAATAATGTTGTCAATCTATTTACATTAAAATAATAATGCTTTTTCCCTTCAACTTATAATGTCTGCAGTCATTGCTAAGATTAAGGTTAACGATCCCCTCAAATATTTTCCAAGTTCCAAGTTACATACTAGTACATATTTTGATACTTCCGCATAATATATAGTCAAACCACTTGTTAGATTTGCCCCCCTCCCCCTTCTCAAGTTTAAGCCAACAACGGTAATCAACCACAACTAACTATAATCTTTACGTACCTTCAAGTCCATGTAAGCTCAGACAGAAAACCAGCAAGAATCCAAACAAGTCTGCAGGACCCATGTTGTTTTCTGTGCTTCCGATCCTCCAGTATTTACCCAAAACAATTCACTCAACTCCCTCCTTCCTAGATTCTGTTGCTGTTGCTGAAAAATGTTTTCCTGTTCAGTGCCTTTTTCTGGTGGTAGGAAGTAGAAGTCGCTCTCAGTCTCTAGTGTCCATCTATACAGTTCTGGAGAGGGGCGAACTACGTAGCTGCACTGGAAATCCCCGGGACTTCCACAATCACATGTCCGACGAAAAACTAGACGTCCACCCGGCCTCCTAGTCCTAGTCCTACGCTACAGTACTATGTTGTTGTTTTAGTAGTACGTAGGCGTATTTTTTCGGGTCCATGAAAAGTTCAGGAGTACGTCAAAGGGCGTCACCACTTCCAGGTGAGTGCCACGCCTTAAATCCGTGCGTAATATCACGCGAAAACAGGCGTGGTCCGTCGGAATGTGTCAGATTTCTAACACTTCCGGTTCTAGTTCTATACAATACTAAGCAATACCCCTCACGGGGTCTAATGCTTAGGGAAGTGGTCGTTCCCCAGCGTGACCGGTGGTGGTGGTGAGGAAAAAAAAAAAAGATCACAACAAACAAACAATACAAAAACAAGTGCAATAACTATGTACAAAAGTCATGGCTGGGGATTGGCCACATTCCTACAGCTGGGTACAGCTAGGGAAGCCATAATGACTGGCTACCCCAGCTTTGAAATGTTCAACTGACTTAGCCATTACCAGATGGGCAGGTAAGGCGTTCCATTCGATCACTGTTCGTGGGAAAAAGCTACCTCTAAAAGTCTCTGTTCTACAGTGTAGTGTGTTGAAACGTAGCTGGTGCCCTCTGGTTGGGTTTGTGTTTCTTGTAAGAATGTGGTGTAGAGGAATGGATATAAGATTGTTGACTGCTTTGTAGAGGAGGCATAGCCGCTGTTGTTGTCTCCGTTGCTGGAGCGTTGGCCAACCAAGTGAGTTTTGTATGGCAGTAATGCTGCTTGAGTGTTTGTAGTTACCTGACACGAACCTTGCGGCTCGTTTTTGCACTGACTCTAGCTTATCAATTAGACTGTTGGTTTGGGCATGTATCTGTTTGTGTGGGTCCCATACTGATGAAGCATATTCAAGTTTGGGTCGTATTAGTGAAGTGTAGGCTCTGTCTCTCACCTGCTTACTTGCCCCCCTTAGATTGCGTCTGACGAACCCCAAGGTGCTGCTAGCTTTCGCAGTAATGTCATTGATGTGTGCCTTCCACCTGAGGTTGTGGCTGAGTATGACACCTAGGTAGGGATGCTGGTTGTTGTGGTTTAGCGGTTCATTGAACATAAAATAGAGATGAGCAGGTGATCTACTGGACTTGTGGATGTGGAGAATAGAGCATTTATTTACATTAAACCGGAGCTGCCAATCTTGTGACCATTTACAGAGTTGGTCCAGATCTTTTTGGAGAATTTCCTGGTCTTGACTACAGTGTATCGGGCGGTAAACAAGACAATCATCAGCAAAAAGTCTCAACTGTGAAGATATGTTGGCATTTATATCATTAATGTAAATGAGGAACAACAATGGCCCCAGAACTGTCCCCTGCGGAACCCCAGATTTAACCCTGACCAGACTTGACTTTTCCCCATCAACCACTACCTGTTGGTAGCGGTCAAGTAGCCAGTTTCTGATCCAGCCGGTCCGCACGTGGAAATCCCCCCCGATCAATGACGCAACCTTTGGTGGGTCAAAGTTCACAGCTCACTCTCGTTTTCAGGGCACCGTCTTCTAGTTTTACTGACGGTTCAAATAAACCAATACAATCTCTATTTTTCATGTTTGATGAATAGTATGATACTTATGTGTATCTAAAACCCTTTTTAACTGCAGAAAGAGGGATACAGGAATGCTAAACCTACAGGCTGCCCTGTGAACGAGACCTCCGTTCAGAACCCAATGCATTTCCGGTTGTTCGGTAGTGCGAATTTTTGGCGCGTGTGATTTTGATTCCTGTGCTTTTTCTCAGGATTTTTGCCACAGAAGGACGCTACGGAGGAAGCTAGGGGACCGAGATGGCTTCTGATCATCTTGTGGCGACTTGTGTGCTGATATTCGGAATGCTGGTCGCAACAGGTTCGTTCTATCTGGCTATATATTTTCTCGAAGCATGCATGTGCACATGTACCGTGCCCCCCTCCCACTACCTTAGGTGGGGCCGGTCACGTACTAGTAGCACTACTACATTATCATGTAACGTTACCCAACACTGCATAATTTGCTAGCAAGTATGTTCTTTAGATCACGCTCATGTCGAGAAATATGACATCTCCCTTTTTCTCTAAACTTTACTGAATCAAATGAATCCCGCCCACTAGTCTACGGCTATACTGGTCGGTCACGTACTAGTACATGTACATGTAACGTTACCTACAAACATTACTAGCAAGCATGTTCTTCAGATCAGGTTCATATCAAGTAAAGTATCACATCTCCCCTTTTCTCTAAAATTATGTTACTGAATCAAATGAATCCTGCCCACTATTAAAGGTACGCCTCAACATCAAAGGCAAGCAAGTAGATTATAGTATACATGTTTGAGGAATGTAGGAATTTGTCTAAAATTCTGCTCACAGATATATGTTTGTTTGTGATATGTGATATATGTGATTAATATCTCTCGAGAGTGAGTGATTTTTTTAAAGGAATTTGCCTGATGATCATAATGGGGGCCTGCATGGGGGGGTCATGACAACGATCTACGTAAGCTGGCTACATATTACGCTGAATTGAGGAAACCTCTCGATTACGCTTTACGTTGAATTCGAAGTGGCTACAACTCATTACGTAGAATTAAAATGGTGAACACGCTCTAGGCAAAATGCGCCAATTACACTCTATGTTGAATTAGAGCGGTCCGTCTACGCTCTACCTACCTACCTACCTAATCCCTCGACCGACCTGGTCGTCGGGGGGACAAGGCAGAGTTTCCCTCCGGTCCGCCGCAGCCAGCAGATATGGGACGTTTAGTGATGTCCATTCCTTTATGTTGTCCAACCAAGTTTTCCTTTGTCGCCCCCGTTTGCGACCTCCCTCGAGCGTACCTTGGAGGATTGTTTTAGCCAGGCTGGTGTGTCTTGTTATGTGGCCAAACCGTTGGAGTTTCCTCCTCCTTACTGTTGTCAACAGTGGTTCCTGGGGACCAACAAGGCTCCGAACTAGTTCCCTCACGTATTTGTTGGTCTTGTGTTCCTTGTACGAGATTTGCAGGAGTCTCCGCAGACATTTTGTCTCAAATGACTGGATTAGTCTACGCTCTACGAAGAATTAAAACGGCCGATTACTAGTACGCTCTACGGAAAAGGGCTTGCAGGCTACCCATAATGTCTTTTTTTTATTTTTGATGATTATTTTTGGTACGTCTAACCGTTGGAAGTCAGGAAACAACAGGCGATAAACCAGATACAGAGTATGTGTGATATTTTTTCTACCTCCATGGTGATACTAATGTTGGTGGTCAAAAGGTTTGTGAATAATTGTATGTTTGTTTCTGTCCGCCAGGTGTCACTCAGAGTCAGACCCCAGTAGATAGAACAGCCATCGAAGGGGACCATGTGGAGTTACGCTGTGACACTGCATATGACAGGACCAAGGACTTCTACTGGTCGGAGGCAGTCATTGGCATCATTTTATATAGACCTGCAGGTGAGTTCTCTATCCAACATACAAATTTCAATCATGTTCAACACCATTACTTTGTATGGTGGATTTTGACACAATTGAAAAATCTTGCAGAATAATTGGTCTGCACAGCACTAGAAAATTTGGCTGTGGATTCAGATTCTCATTGTTCTTTTAACCTTGTGGTTACACTTTGTTACTTTATAACTGGTGACTGTATTCACAGTGACCTTCACTTTTTTAAAGATTAACATTTTGGCAAAGGTACAACGTGGTAGCACATTGGCATAACGTACTGTACCTGCACAATGTGTTGTGCATAGCACTTATAGTCTTCGGCAGAACTTCTCATATAAAGTCATATTCATGCAAGCGCAAGGCTGTACTTTTCAAAGTGGTTACATCAAAAAAGATATTGCTAGTCTGATGCAATGTTAATCAAACATCTAATGAAAACCATGGAAACTCTGCAGGCGCAGTGCATTCTGCTGACATGCTCATAGTGGTAAGTGGCAGAACTGAAGACCCACGTTTGTCTCTCAATACAGGTGCAGATGTGAATAATGTCACAATTCCCATCTCGAGGTATCGAGGCCGCGTAAGCCTGGTGGGGTTGGATAGTTCGAACCTCAAGATTAAAAACGTCACAAAAGCAGACGAGGGGTCCTATAACTGCCAGCAAGTGGGAGCAGTTCAACAAGGGACTCTTCAAAGACTTCAAGTACTTGAAGCTGGTGAGTAAGCAGCATATGCATATTCATAACACATTCAATTGTTAGACAAAGAAAGACTAAACTTTATCTCCAAAATGTCATACATGTATATGTATAACAGGAGTATAATAGGAGTGCTTCCTGATTTTCCGGAATGTTTTTTTTTTTTACATTCCAACGTTTTATGACTAGAAATGACACTCAAGTTATATCAACTAATTTTATGCCGCCACCAACGCAGAGGACGGATACAAGATAGGTCAGATAGGTAAATACTCATTTACACCTGAGCTAAGTGAGGAAAGTTGTGTTAAGTAGTGCCTTTCCCAAGGGCACAAGATCGGTGACTGAAACCCGGGACCTCTTGGTTCCTAGTCGAGCACTCTGCCATTATGCCACACGACCCTACTCTCCAAGCAGAGGTTTGGGTTTTGGGGGTATTTTTAGTGTGTTTTTAGGCTTTTTTATCGGGGTTTCTCTTTTGCACTGAATTTTTTTTCCCACCAAACCCAACCTCTGCCGGCACTCACCTCGGGGAGGGGCAAACCTATTCAAAACAGGCGATAGTGCCCCTCCCCGGGAACCATCAAACTGTCATTAGGGATATCCATTTTATTGTGGTGGATTATCACACATCTAGCCAGTCAGAAAGGCATTCATTGGGCCACACGCCTCCTGCTGACTGTACCTATTCATGCGTCTGGTTCACACCTCCTTGCAGAACGACTGAAATGTGTTGAAGTGATTAGGTTTATAGCCCATTGAAGCTTTCGACTGCCGGCAGAGGTTGGGTTTGGTGGGAAAAAAAATTCAGTGCAAAAGAGAAACCCCGATAAAAAAGCCTAAAAACACAATAAAAATACCCCCAAATCCAAACCTCTGCTTGGAGAGTAACACGACCCAACATTTTCCTGATTTGGTCCATATATTTTCTACAGTACCTCCGGACCCGGCTGCCCCCACCATCACAGGCTACAGCGGGGGCTTCCTCACACCTGGCTCTAATGTTACTCTCACCTGTGTGTCTACGGGTGCCAGGCCACCTGCAAACCTCACCTGGTGGACAGGTGATATATTTATTTTTATGATACATATAATATATTTATATAATGGAAAGTGACAGACAGTCACCAAAATGTCGGCTGAATAAAACACTTGGTTGTGTAAAAAGAGTCTTTTTACTCTTTACCAGCCTGACAAAACTATTCACAGATTCCCTAACCCTAATCTGTTATATGATAATATACAGGTAATACACAGCTGAAGGCCAGAAACAGTAGTACCCCTGACAGTACCTGGCAGGGTGATACCAGGAGTGAGGTGACCATTCCAGATCTGAAGTTGTCAGACAACGGTAGAGTCTACCAGTGTCGGGCCAGTCACCGAGCACTAGCACAGGTGGAGACCAGCCAGGTCACAGTCAGTGTGGCATGTATGTAGTAAGCCTTTTCTTGTTTTGCACTTGTACTTAACTATTATAATAATGAACAATGATGTCACTATTTTCATGCGAGATAATGTGTGTTCAATGATTAAATCACTCTCTCTCTGTACCTGTATCTATATAGTTGGTACATATATAACCGCCCTTTGGCGTATTAAACACGCCAGCTTCACAGGCACGCGGTGCAGCGGCAGCTGGCTACATTACATCGAACAACTTGTTAAACCTAACCCACTCACTCACCCACTCTTCACTCACTCTTCACTCTCACTCACTCACTCACTCACTCACTCACTCACTCACTCACTCACTCACTCACTCACTCACTCACCCACTCTTCACTCACTCTTCACTCACACTCACTAACTCACTCTCACTCACACTAACTCACACTCACTCACTCTTCACTCACACACTCACTCACCCACTCTTCACTCACACACTCTCATCACAGTTCACTCACTCACACACACTCACTCACTCACTCACACACTCACTCACTCACTCACACACTCACACACTCACTCACTCACACACACACTCACTCACTCATCCACTCACTTACTCATCCACTCACTCACTCACTCCCTCTCTCACACTCACTCACTCCCTCTCTCACACACTCACTCACTCACACACTCACACACTCTTCACACTCACTCACTTACACTCACACACTCACTCACTCACTCTCACTCACTCACTCTGTCTCACTCACCCACCCACTCACTCACTCACACACTCACTCACTCACACACTCACACACTCACTCACTCTTCACACTCACTCACTTACACTCACACACTCACTCACTCACTCTTCACTCACTCACTACTCACTCACTCACACACACTCACTTACACTCACACACTCACTCACTCTTCACTCACTCACTACTCACTCACTCACTCACACACACTCACTTACTCTCTAACAATCACTCACAATCACTCACAATCACTCACTCACTCACACTCACACTTACACTTACTCACTGAATCACTCAGTCCTGTAGCCACAGGCCAATGGGACAGTCTTCCTGTCCAGAAAAGTTTAATTGTTGTCTTTCTTAGTCATTAAAAAGACCAGAAACCTCCTTTGTGCTCTTCACTATGAAGTGTTTCAATACCCCCATGTACATGTAGTCCTTAGTAATACCCATACAGTCAATCAATGAAAGTAACAGGATCAAATATGTACAATGTGATCTTTTCTTATTGCCAATCTGTTAGCTGTTGGGAACAGCATTTTTTGTACACAGTTGTCACTAAACACTAATATTCAAAACTTTGTCTACTTCTAGATCCATCAAGAGGACTATCTGGTTGGAAAATCGCTGTAATCGTTCTTGGTGTTTTTGTTGCTATCGGTGTGATCATTGGAATCGTAGCTACTGCAATTCTCTGCAAAAAGTACAATTGTCCACAAGGTAAGGCCCTTGCAACTTTCTGGAACATCAAGATTTAAAAACTCAAATTTTAATCATAAAAATCAGTTTGCATCGGACTCCTTATCATGTTCATGTCCAAATATACAATATCATTGATTTTGTCAACATGTTCTTACTAAAATAAAAGACAATGATGCTATCTTTCTCTCTTCTGATTACAACTGTTCTGCTTGCAATTGGCTAAACAGTACCTACTGCACCTGGCTGTTTCCATCTACTCAAGTGCTTCTCTCTGCTGTAAACCTTCCAGGTTAGATGCCACATTTTTGTACAGACCAGCATTTAATCATATAAAAATAAAACTGCAGTTTTTGTCCTGTCATAACTCCTACATGCATATACCATGTACATGTAATTGTATTCTGATCAGTCAAGGCACTATACTAGTATGGTACAATGTTAGGTTTTCTTTTGTTCTAATATATGTCAATGATCTAACCTAATTCATGTCAAATTAATGCTTCATTTCATCAAACAAGTATTGTTTGTATGCATGATGCAGTGCATTGTTTCTCACTTGTACTTGTATCTCCTGTATTGCAGAGAGACGAAGCAGCAGAGACTCAACAGAGATGAGGGAACGGAGGACAGGAGGAGGTACTACACAATCACATGCTCCAGCTACTGCTTGGCTTTATAATCTAATTAGTGATGTCAGTAATGCAAGGAGAGATTGCAGCGTTGTTTCAGTTACATTTTTACAAGCCTAAAACAACTAAAAGTCATTCACGTTCCAGCTAGTTTTCTGCTGGCTAAATCAAGCCAAAGTTCCTTTGTTAAACAGTTTTGTTTACTCTGCAAATGTCCCTTGTTTCAGCAACAAGTTCTGACCAACACGATGGGTCTCATGTACGGATGCCTTGGGAAAGTGAGGCCTTACTACCTACATCAAGCCCTCCAGAGGCCCAGTTCACAGTAACAGGTGTTTTTTGTTTTTTTTTGTTTAAACTTTTGAAGTAATTTTTATTAGACCAGTCTACAAGGATTTTATTCCTCCAAATTCTTTTTGAAGTTTGAATATGAACTTTGAACTTTACTCATCACCTTACAGCGGTGGCACAAACAGACATGCAATATTGTTGTAATATCTATCATAATTGTTATAATTTAATTCCTGTAATTTCAATGCTTTATTTCATTGAACGGTGTTATTATTTGCATTCATTTTGTAAAGCGTCTTACTTTATTGTCTCGGGTAATGCAGAGATAAGAAGCAACGGTGATGCTAATTCAACAGAGAGGGACAACATGGGGAGAGAAAGAGGTACTACACAATCATATACTCTAATTAGTAATGAATCAGTCCAGGGCTCGAAATACCCGGTGGCGCACTGGCGCGGCGCCACCTGATTTTGCTTGGCGCCACTTATTCCTAAACTCAGGTGGCGCAGCGCGCCACCTATAATTTGCGGTAGGGACGTCACTGCTGCGACACCGCTCTTCCCCAGCTGCTACATGTAACATCATCCTTGCGCAAACGAAGAACATGGCGCACGTAACACCACCCGCATAAGTGTGCCGCAGTAGCAGCTGAGCCTGAAGACATGTAAAGGTGGCAGCAGGGTTGGACAAGTTAAATTGCCCGATTGCCCCGGGCAAGTAAAAGTGCTAATCGGGCAAGCACATCTCCCTCTGGGCTTGCCCGATCGGGAAAGTTAAATTTTTGTGACACCCCAGTACAGCGGCAAAATTGCTGATTTTTTCTCGCAAAAGTACCAATTAATTCCAGTCAAAATCATGTCCATTTGTAAATAAACCCATTAAAAGTCCCTAGATACCATTACCTTGACAGATTAATCGGTAAATAGCTTTATTTTCTACGAAACACCCGGGGCCCAGCATCTCGCCTCGTCTAATTTTGATCCGCGGCGCCATGTTTGTTTTGGTCTCGGGGGGGCCCCACTCTCGCGAGACTTGGTATCCTTATATCACTAGAGGGATCACGTGACGTGACGAGATCTTGCCTTTGACAGCGTTGCGGGAGTGCAGGAACAGCAGACAATGTTTGTAGAATTGTTTGGGGGATTTTGAACTGTCCTGAGGCTTAATTTTTGGGGGGAAAATGAAGGAAAGAATATTCTAAACAGCCA